TTTTTTGGGGGGGGACCTTGCTTTCTCCTGCACGGGCTAGCCACCCAGAACCCGGGCAGCCCGACTTGTAGCCTTTTTTTTTTTTTTGATTTTTTTTTTTTTAAATGGATAATGCTAGGGTTGTTGATAAGAGCAGACACCGCTCGCATTCTGTGGGACCGGGTCCAACGTCCCTTATATGATAATCTGTTATAAAAAAACATATTGAGATGAAACCCCATTGCTGGAAACCGGGTCCAACGTCCTATCCTGTTCTGTCATTTGACACTAAAACCGTAGCCCGGGTCTGGGGCCCAGTCCGCGGCACACTGGGGGGCACCAATGGTCCATTTCTGCCCCAACCAATCCACTCCCACTGCTGCACAACTTTTCCTAGTCCGGCAGATGCCACAACCAGAATTCATTTGACAACAATAGTCCATCCTCTCTTGCCCCTCCAACATCCCATTATACACTCAATTGCCAGCATTGATTGCCCTGTACCCAGGCGATTGAAGGGGATTGACTGCGCAGGTGTGGTGGTAAGTCTATTGGCAAAATAAAAGTTGTCTCTTCAGTCCGCGCCTGACCGTCCGATCACTCTTTCTACCCTAACAACTACTTCATGTTCCTACGAATACCAGTCTGCTCTATAGCTGTCCTGCATTGCCCATTCAATCCCCGCCATAACATTGCATGTCCACCATTGCCAGCTGGTGAGGCAGGAAGGGGTCGGAAAAATCTGTTGCAGGTTGTAGTGCGATTTCCTAGTCCACTGTAGTCCAATCCTTGAATTAGGAGGAATTCACTAATAATACAAAAAAATAAAATGAAAAGATAATTTAAATTAGTGAACAAGTGAGTATGTTTTCGACACAGCCATCTTTGGCAATTTTTTATTTTTTTGGGCATAACCAAATGCCCTGAAATTTTACAGATGCATACTTCACATAATACAGAAATCAGTAAAAAAGTTTTAAAAAATAATAAAATTGTTTAGGCCCCGCAATAAAGTGGAAATCAAAAGTAAGATGGGAATAAAAACAAAATAGTGAGTGGGCGCGCACATTTTGACACCGCCATCTTTGGCATTTTTTAATTTTTGTTTGGCTTAGCAAAAGACTTCAAAAATTATCTCACATCACAGAGAACTCAGAAAAAA